TCGTGTTCGGGGAAGCGGCATGGACCCCAGGACATGGTTCTGCTGCCTCCCCCGGACAAACTGCTGCTCCAACAGCAGCAGCAGCAGCTGCTCCAGCAGCAGCATGAGCTCCAGCATCATTACTGCTCTCTCTCACCACTGGACAATAAGACCGGCTACAGCCTGCAGGACTACGTCTAATAAAAAGGTGCTGTGCGTGCCACAGCTTAAGGAAGATGAGCCCGAGGGGGGAAATCTTGCAGCTTATGCTGCAAGTCGGTTCTGCTCTATAAGGAGGAAAAGATTTAAGGGAGGAGGGCAACAACTTCAGAATTCATCAGTCCCTCTATCTGGCTCTTTTCCTCTCCTTTTTTCTGTTTTGCAAGCACAAGCAGTGGAAGTACTTTCAGAGCAGCATCTTGGAACAAACAGTGAGGAGTGCAGCATAAGGTGCTGCAGAATCGAAGGATGCTGCTCAACAAAGGCAGACCTCCTTCATCAGTAAATCAAAGAAAGAGTTCCCTGGGGGATGGATTAAGCAAATAAGGAAGGCTTCAGAGCTGATTTTTCCACCCCTTTCGCCAAAGGTTTGAAAAAAAAAAAAAAAAAAAAAAAAAAGAAGCAATCATTTAGCTGCTATTTACAATCGTTTGGTAAACTCACATTTGACTAAAATAGGCAACACAACGCCTGTGAGTCGTAGATGGAAGCCCTCTCATCGCAAGCCATTGTAGTTTTCCTCATACTTACAGTATGCTACACTGAAATGACTAAAATAAATGACCATATTTTCCTTAGCTGCTAGAGTGTAGATATTTTGCCTCTGAAGCATGCTGTGTGAAGCCTGTCTGTGTATTAATACAGAGGAATGCCAGGTAGAAGACGGAGTCATAGCCACACAATGCCTGTGCCTGAAAAGCTGTAGAAACATTAGCCTGCTGTAAGTGTTAAAACGAGGACTGTCAGGAGCAATAGATGTGGGCTGCAGGGCTGGAGCTGCGAATGCAGACAAACAGATGCCTGCTTTTCTCTCTGCAGGTAGAAAAATGAGAGAGATGGAGGGAAGATTGATAGAAAGATTCATTCCTGCCCCAGCAGGGACCATCTGATATGCTGCTCCCATATTTTTTTCATCGACACAAACATCTTGCCTTTTAAGAGACTGTCTAGCCTTTTATTGGGCTGCCGTTCTGTGTCCCTGAGCAACATCATACCAGAAGAAAAGAAAAAAAAAAAAAATCAGACTTTTTGGAAATCCAGTCCATGTGTTAGCAATGGTTACAGAATTTTAGTGTTTGTTTTCACCATTTAATTTAATACATGCACAAGCGCTAGTTAACATGAACCAGTTTATTTTCAAATAACATGGATGTTTTCCTTATACAACAAAATTCTATTAACTTATTTTTTTAACATATTCTTCAAGTGTTAACGTAATTTCCATTATTCTCACGGTCGCCATTCTCGACCGTTGTCATGGTTGCAGTCTAACGCTCTAGAAATGCACCAATCCACTGGCCAGTGATGACAACTATCACTTTTTCATCATGGTCAGCTCTGATGCGCCACCTGCTGGTCAGTGCAAGTATATTATGTGCAGCTGATCATTTTGCACAAGTGTTCTGTGTTAGAGAACATAAGAGGAAGATCGCACAAGCCGTTGCTAACATAGCAAAGGTGAGCCAAGAAAGCTCGGAGGTCGTTGTTGGTAATATTTGTATCAGTAAGATTAATAGTAGAGGAGACAAATTCGTTCAGAACGACAAACCTAATCTGACACTAAAAACATCATCAGCCAGCTGAACACACCTATCTCATGAGGAAATTGTGTTTTATTTAGACGTAGCGTAACGGAAGCTCTTTGAAGTCGTGTCATGCTACGTTAGCAGCCAACTGCAGGCAGGTTGACTCTGTTTTTCATTGAAGTATGATAAAAGTATTTCAACAACTGGACATGACACTGCATTATGGCAAGTATTTGAACAACTGGACATGACACTGCATTATGGCGCGTTTGAGTGTTTATTCCACTGGTTTATCCCTCGCCAATTGTTGAAAAAAATCAGCTTGTTGCGCAATATTGATAATGGCAACCGTCCCTTCTATCCTCTAAAGGCTGAGACTATTTAATGTTATATGTGGATCTTTTTTTGGAAAACGTGCGGCGTTCCCTGCAACGTGCACGAAAAACTTTATCGTCAAAGATCTAGCGAACAGTAACAGAATCTAAATGACAGCGTTCCATACCAAAAATACATAGACCAAATAGGCAACGAACATTTTGTGTCCACGAAAGAATCTAAATGACAGCGTTCCATATCAAAAATATATAGACCAAATAGGCAACGAACATTTTGGCTTCCAGTATATGACTGTCTGTACCAACGCAGTTTTTGTACAGAGTATGTCACAATTGAACATCCACAGTACTAAACTGGTTCATGTTTCATTGTCCTTGGAAGAACATTTTTAGCATGAAAAAAGGCATAAAGCATGTTCTAGGTCAGACGGTAGATTACCATTGAACAAACATATGCATATATTTAGATTACAATGTTGGACCTATTTTTTCCCAGACTGACAAAACACGTGACGGCATTTATCTTAAGGCAGCGACTGGTCCGCTCCCGAGTGTCTCCACGCACATGAAAAACTTCATGCCAGCCTTTTGTGTGTGCTTTTTCGCCTTTGTCGTCCTCCTCCACACTGCCATGGAAACAGAATTCAGCCCTCAGACGTCTTATCGTCTGAGGGCATGTGCTTGTCAGTCATTAATTTGAAGTTATTTTCTTTTTGGCAGGGGGTGTTTCTGTCTCACCGCGGCTCCCTAAGCTGTGCAGCTCTAATGCCTGTAGTACTTTACAATACTCCTTTTATAGTCTGTGACATGAAGCAGCACCCCCGTTCCGTGGTCGTCACTACAGTACGGGCTCATTCCGTGCCAAATTGCCTCATGAGGCTGAACAAGTGTTTATGGTGCAGCAGAACAGGGGTAGAAGTGAGATAAAGAGGGAGAAGCTTCTTGGGTCATGGTCGACTGGATAGCTGTGTGGTCGGCAGCTAAAAAAGGTTTGAGTCATTCTCCATATGTGACTTGTTTTCCAAGTGCGTCAGCAGCGCGATAGGCTACCAGTCTGCACCTACAGACACCGTCTCCAACTAAAAATGCGGACACCGGACTACGTCGCCGTTTCTCTGTTTCCTACCTGTCAGTCCAGTCTATGTTTTTTTTAACCGACTCCCCGTCCCGCCTGTGTCACATGTCACATGGATGCGATCGCTGACATGAGACAGCTGATGCATGCTGAAAAGCCCGGCTGCCCAACGCACACACACACACACACACACACACTTGGCATGCATAAACAAAACCCCCTCCTACTCATATGTCAGCAACTCTGTCACTCTTTTTAAAAGGTCACGATCCGCAGTCTGTTTTCTCTGGGATGGATATGAGAAGAACAATGTTTTTTTTTTCCTTTGTGAATTTGAGCCAGACCCTGGCAGTTATGTATAAAATTGCACATTCCCTCCTTCTCTCTCATAAACATGCTGCTTCCTGGGGGAGAGCAGATGGCTAGGCCCAGCTCGCCACCTGCAGGCGGCTTCCTGCACTCCACATGCATCTCTGTGGGTTTCCACTGGCAGTCCACCGGGGTCCGGGGTTCTGCCCCACCCTGTGTTAGCTCGTCTATGTAGAAACTGTAGAACTGGCCTCCTGACAATAACTCACTGCCCAGGCATCATAACGAACGCAATAAACAAAATAAAAGAATGTGCCATGTCATCAACCAATACAGACACAGAAGATGTGTACGATGAATGTGCCAAATCCTCTCACGATGACACGATTCCTGTTTGTTTTCTCAATCTGTTGTTTGTACATGAATTATATATCACAACCGTTTTAATGATTTATGATTTGTTCTGCCTGAATAAGTTGACGCTTGTGTATAGTCTAGTGAAGGATTTTCAAAGGTTATTTTTCATCATTACTCTTCCCTTTTGTCCCACAAAGCACAGCCACACTTCACTTATTTCACATTAATTTTATTAATAAGACATTAGTGTGGTGTTTTATAAATGAGGGAGGGAAAAAAAAGAACTATTTGAGCAGTTCTGCTTCACTGTAGATCCATGAAAGCTGTACACAGGGATCAAGGCTTTTACAATGGGTTGGTTTTTGCTGAGAGAGACTTGAAATTCGTCAGATTTGTTTTAATAAGATTCAGAACCATGCTCATACCATATCTTCTTTATAAGAAGACAACTCAATGCACCTTTGTCTGTGTTATTTTGTTTGACAACACTCCCTCTGTCAGGACAGAAGCAACAGGCTCTCTGGTAAAAAAGGTAAAGAATTCAGCAGGGAAACAGAAGCTAGAGATTATTATTATTATATTTTGTTTTTTTTTTTTGGCTGTGTAGCTTGATCATAGGCAAGCAATATCATTAGCTTATAAATGGCCAGAGTGCAAAGTGACTTGGTCCTAAAAATGTTGTACCGCGAATGCTGTACCAAGACACCGACTTGTGGTTTTGATAACTGCAGCTTATTTTTGTGAATGCTTAGCACTTCTTACTTTGCAGAGCATAATTGTGATGATGAACAGTTCACAAGTTCTGATACAGGTGTCTCAATGTGCTTGTGCAAGTAGTTCTATTTTTTACCAGTAAAACTATTTTGTGAAAGCAACCCTGGCTGGTTTGTGTGTTCTGTGTCGTTGTGTCGTCGTGCACGGTTGATGAGGACGGAACGAGCCTCCACCCTTTTAGCCTCGTGTAGGAGACCGGTGGACAGGACAGGCATCGGTCCAATGAAAAGTCATGTCTCCATAAAACAATATTATTAGCACAAATGAGGTTTAAAAAGTCATTCTTTTAACAGGGCCCAGAGGCATTTGTCATTCCAGTTTTTTTAGATTATGTAGCACTAAGTTATGGGTCAAAATTCTCCCCTCCTCCATCAGTTCTTTAGCAATCTCCTCGAACAGCGACTGATATAATAATCCATCGCTAAACAGGAAAGGAGGAAACAGGAAACAACACAAATAATTCAAAGATCTCTCTCTTTCCTTCTACATCGTAGATCAAAAAACTTCCTAGCCTCACGGGAGAACAGTAAGCAGATCGATATCTCTGTGTATGTAACCTACTTTTTTCCATCAAAGCTTTGACCCTGAGTTGACCTGGAATGGGAACTTAGATAAAAGGAGGTAGGTAATTGTCGATTTAAGTCGTAGATTAACTAGTAGGTAGGAATTTATGCCTTTTGAACTCTATTTTCAGCCACACTCTAAGTCAGTGATTCCCAACCACCGGGCGGTGTACTGTGGAAAACTATCCAATTCCACTGAATTGCTCTTTGGTGTTTCTTTCTTCTATTCCTGAGTATATCAGCATTGTGTTCAACTAAACAAAACAACTGTTTTACTTTGGTATTAAATGCAAAACATAAGGAGTTCCTCTAAAAAACAACTCCTTAAAAATATGCTTTGCACAATAGGGAAACATTTTCTATTGACATATAGTGTAAGACAGGGGTGTCGAACCTACAGCCCAGGAAACATTTTGCATTGACATATAGTTTAAGACAGGGGTGTCGAACCTACAGCCCGTGGGCCAAAACTGGCCAGCTAGGGTGTTCAATCCGGCCCAGTTGATGAATTTTGAAAGTGAAAAAAGTGCACAACCACTTCATGTTGGTGATGTTTTCTCAAATTATATGTCATTAAACATGAATATTTTCTAAGATCCAGCCCACTTGATCAGGCTGTATGTGGCCCATGAACCAAAATTAGTTTGACACCCCTGTTCTAATACGTTTAATGTTCTTTCCTCTACCTACTTTATCACACTCTGTGCTCTTTATTCACATAAGAAAACTAGCATTTCTTCCTGCACACAGCCTAAAAACCAGAGTTCACGGTTGACAACCGTGTTCACCAGTTTGGCTCCATACACTAAAAATAAGACAGATACTTTATCACAGTGCAACTGTTGAGGTATTGTCAGGTCAACACTAAATCAGTTACGCTTCAACAACTGGCATTTTTACACAAAATGCAGCCGCCCAAATCCCACCCGTACGTCACAGTACTTTATGTGCGGCTATTTGTTTTGTAGACCTGATATTGCTGAGAAGGTTCTTACTGGAGATATAACACGGTCGTGAACATTGATGGAGAACGACCTTCCTTTGTTGGAGCGCTGCGCTTCTTGTCTGTGCACATGTGAGACTGGGGGAGCTACGGCAATGACCTTGGCAGCACAGCATACTGCTGAGAAAGGCAGTAAACGCTATGGAGATGACAAAAGAGGCTCCTGTATGAAAACAATACACCCTGACAGTTCAAACAAGGCTGCTAAAATATATCACCCCGGTGCACCAGACTGCACGCGTGGCTGAGATGATTCTAACATAGAAACTTCAAAATGCTACCACAGGCAAATGTTTTAACTGGAGTTGTCCCCAGATTCTGACTTGGATCAAGAAGGTCATCTACTGCAAAAACTCACAAATCAAATCACTGTGCAGAATATTACTGTTGTAAATGTTGTTGATTAAAAAGACGAAAGTGAATTCAATTGCTTTGATTAATTCTTGAAGATTAATTTGTTAGAATTTTTTATTGAATTGTAGAGCAGAGGTGATTGATGGGCAAACATATTTAGGAATGTTTTCCCATCCTGAGTATTTTTTTTTCATCCTTCGTCTGGGTTTGCGACTTATACTGAGGTGCGACATATACATTAAAATATATAATTTAACATTTTTGTTATTTTCTCACTGACATCCACTAGAGGGCACTCTAGGATTGTGTACCAGTATCTGCTACTCCTGTACCACTGAAAATTTACATTTTCATTATTTTCTCACTGACAGACACTAGAGGCCACTATAGCTAACTGGTGCGACTTATACTTGGGAGCGACATTTATGTTTTATTCTTCTTCATTATGCATTTTTTGGCTGGTGCGACTTATACTCAGGAACAATTTATAGTCCGGAAAATCCACAGCTACCCAAAAACCTGTTATCAGTTTATCACCTGAGTTAGAAGAAGTATTAGGTTAGGTCATTTACCTTTTCTGTACCAATACCAGTGAGTATTTTTTTTATCATCATTAAATAGCACCACTGGTAATTTCATTATTCAGATCATCGAATTCAACACCACTCCTCCGGGTATTTGCATATTCCCTCACCGTGCACTCTGACTAAACAGAGCAAAATCTGCTGAACTCTGAGAAGCACGGTTTCATGTTAGGAGGAGCAATACATCTCCGGAGCTGTGTACAAGACAACACTGCCAACCTCGGCATTTTGTTTAGGGCAGAAAGTTGGAGGAGGAGCGGAGTATTTTTAGCTCGTCTCTACCTTGGCTTTGTAATACATCCAGACCAAGCCTTCAGGCATTTACTGTGTCTGCACCAGTCATTGACATAACTTTTCCCCGATACTCCTGATACCACACTTGACCCCGTTTACAAGATGAGCCTAGATGAATTGTGTGCCTGTGGAATATGCCTGAGGTAGTGGGAAAATATTGTAGTACCTTGAAGTAGACCCTCACCCTCACTGCTAAGACAAGAGCTGGACCACGTCAGGTCACATCCATCAGAGCCAAGGCAGGACACTGAATGGAGGGGGGGGTCAACACCAAAACACTGACACTGACAAAAGGATGCATTTAAATGACTAAAACACATCATTAGCAAAGCACAGCAGAGAGTGACATTAAAGAGCAAAATATTCAAAACTCAATGTCAAAAATAGTTCCCTAACATGTAATAAAAACTAGGGATGGCTGATAATATCGGCCCAATATTAGCGTAATAATAAAAAGTATAAAGCACAATTATGTAATATCTGTAAGAATCATTATTGGCTTTTCCTCCGATAACAAAAACCCGATAACGCAATGCCTGGGTTTCGCCAAATGATGTGTGATCTAAAACTAGTTTTGGGGAAAAACTGCTGTAAATGAAAGTGAAAGTCACTAGATGGCAGCATTTCAGCTCATTTGGTATGGTATGCTGAACGCTGATGGCAGCAACTCATACAGTTTGTTTGTCCAAGTAAATAAATATATATTATCAGGCCTATTTTGGTATCGGTATATACCGGAATCAGAAATTAAGTGTTTGGACAATATCGGCATATCGGATATTGTGTAATTTTCTGAAGAAACCATATTTGCTAAACATGACAAACATAGAAGTTTGTACCACAGTAAACAGATTTTGGGATAATGGACAAATCTGTGTCCATAAAGATGAACAGTAGAACTCAGTTTACACTCTCTGATTAAGTCTGTAGCCAGTAATGCACCACCAGCATGATTAGAGGACGACTGTAGTAGAAATCTGTCACAGCTAAATACAGTTCACTGGACCAAAAAAGAAGTGCTTCCTGACATTGTATCTTATTTTGCAGAAACATATTTTAAGGTTCTTTGGTGCAGAGCTAATGTTACAGTAGATGGACCGAGAAACAAACACAAACATTTTCTGTGACCAAACGAAGACAACATTGTAGCAAAGCTTTTGGTAAAAAATGGACAAAGAAATACAATTTAGTTGTCCATCGAAACCAGTACAAAAGCCAGAAACTGAAACAAATGGCTACTTATTGATAATCATGGCGCATCTATATTTGTGATGATACAAGCGTTGAGGATGGTGATATTATCTCCAATGAATGGAAATTTGCAAAATTACAGCGCTGTAACAATTGAATGTGTGTTTCTACTATTTAAAATGTCTAAGCCAGTTGTCCATCGAAACAAGTAGAAAAGCCGTGTTTCTACTATTTAAAATGTCTAAGCATCACAGAGAGAGTGAGCCAATAATGGCCAAAATCAGTTGATCAACTAAAGTTGTTTAATCCAGCCAGTTTGGGCAAAAAATCTTGCTGTAATTGTGCAAAAATTTAGCATCTTTAATTTACCTAAAAAAATGAAAAAGTGTAATTTAAAGACAAGGAGGCAGAGTAGAACAATTGCCTCTGTTACTGTTTTGGGAGTGTGTTGCAGGCAGGCGATTTCAAACAAACAAACAAAAAAAAACATTGATCAATTACAACTGTCTTTTGTTTAGAAAATGTATCAACTTTTATGTAAATGGTGTTTGTCAGACAACTATTAAACCTTTTAGTACACAGATCTAAACGTGTTGTGACAGCAGCCCGTAACAATGGGTGCCCAATGCTGCATTAACAAATTTAATTTTAGCTCTGCTCATCTGGCCTCTGCTCCTGCTCTGTGATTGTGTAACAAGGCGAACATCTGTAGGGTTCTCCTCCTGCGAGGCTCACTTAGTTGGAGGATGATAGCTGATGCAGCCGTTACTCAGCGCGGGCAGATGACCGGCCCAATCAGACGACCATATGTTAGAGGTACGCCTCATTCTCTTTCAGATCGATCTCTGTCATTAATCTGTCCTCAGCTGCTCTGCAGCCTAAATTTGTGGAACAGTGTTTGCGGTTTCTCCGCCCTGCATCTTCACATTTTTAGTTTGTTTTTTTTTTTTGTCGTTATCATCATCTATTTTCTTGTAAAAAAAAACAACAAATACATATTTGCAAAATAATTATCAGAATCTGTGAAAGACATTCACAAAAGACTGAAGGAATACTGAATAGGTCACATGTCAAATCCAAGGGTGGGGGTCCATTCTGGCCCACTAGATCATTTTAGACGGCCTGGCTAAAGTAAACGTCCACAGCAGGGGTCACCAACTGTATTTGTCAGAGGGTCAGATTTCCTCTGGTCATACACGTAGGAGACAGACGATCGAACAAAATGAAATAAAAATTACATTTTTGTCTAAAATTCCATCCATCCATTTTCATCCGCTTATCCGTTACAGGGTCACAGGGGCAGCAGTCGCCACCCACATCACACTACACCGTACCAACACTCCCTAAACCTTCCTGCAGGTGGTGAGTCCACTGGAAGGTACCAACTGCCCTGACCGGGATTCGAACTTGCCCAGGAGGTGAACCCTGGGGTTCCACACCAATGACAGAAACATTGCCTCTGGGCCAAAGCGCCACTTGTCTGAAATTATTATTTGATATTTATTTTAGAATCCTGTTCAAAAACGTTTGAATTCAGTCTTTTGTTTATTTTATAGTATACCTGGTCATAGCAGTGCAGCACTAGACTGTTCAACAAACACTCGTCCTGTATGGACCTCCAGATATTGGCTTCTTGACTGATTGGGTTCGAATCCGCTGCTTTTAATCATGTAACTATAAAACCACCTTTTCCTCAGGTGCTCAGACCATGTGACTATGCCTACCGCTGGTTATTTCAACATCTTGTCTACGTTGCTGGATCCACTTTTAGAACAACCATGTCCATTTATTTAAATTATTCATAAGGTGCTATGGGTTTCAGTCAATTTCCTCACGATCCTTCCTTCGTGTTTTTTTTTTCATCTCATTAGAACATCGTTTCCCAGCCTCCTTTACCTTGCTCATGATGAAGCATCTATTATACACCTCATTCTACAGATGCAGAGAACGGTGAGTGGGAGAACGCCCTTAAAGGGGGGAGGGGAAAAAAAGGCATTTTCAAAGTGAAGAGGTCTGGAGGATGAATCTGATTGTGTTGTGTTGTGTTGTGTTGCTGATGCTTGTGACGGCAGTGTACTCTCTAGAACTCCTTGACCTCTGACCGGAATATAAATTAAAATGGTGTCTAGTAAGAAAAGCCACATCAAAGATGTCTTCTCTGAGCCGAGTGAGAGGAACGGCTGGGATACACTCCGCAACACCAGACAAGAATCTCTCTACTCCATCTATCAATCTGTATGAAAATCAACATCAAAAGACAGAAAAGAGAGGGCGGTGGGACGAGACGGGGGGGTTGGCATGGTCTGCAGAAGGATAAACCTCATACACACTGAACCTGAAGCGTGGGGGGCAACATCATCAAAAAGGCCAATCGGCACTCGCAGACAGCTCCAAGGACGATCTGAGCGACTTAGTGTGACACAGTGGAGGTGCAGGAGAAGGGGCAAGAAGAACAAGGCAGACAGATTAAACATCAAGGATGAGAGTGTATCTGCACGGCCGACGTCAATATTAGCCCCAGCAGCTACTGATGTAAAATGGATTCAACATTTCCCCTCCTTATTATCACATTAGCCTGTAGCCCGCTCGGAACGTATAGCTTCGAGTCAGCTGGCCAATCGAGCTGCGTCTTCTCTTCCTCCAAATTTATCTTATGGGCGGAGTCCATTGATTTCATTACACTTCCATTCCCGCGGCTCTCTCTGATGAAACGTGGGTCTGAATAAAAATATATTAGACGGCTTCAAGTCAAAGTCACTGCTCTTCTGCTACTGCTCTTCTGATGACGGCTAGAGCCTTAACGTTGCTAATGCTGCTGTAACCGCACCAGGGGCCTCGGGTTCAGACGTGACAACGATTTCCCCGGCAACACACAAAAATGTCCAGCTGTGCTTTAATTTCAACAAATTCCCAGTCATTAGCACAATCAGAGATCCCGAAGCTCCAGAGAGAACAAGATAATACCAATAAGCTCATTCATTAGCCGTAGGTTTTAAGGGTATTTACACACATGAATCCCCACAGAGGCCCGTGTTGGAGGGAACTCAACAGGAAGGAAGGAAGGGACCAAATATACAAAGAGTGCGAGTACAAATATACAGGCCCTTTTGGTATTTGGCAGTAACTTTGACCATTATAATTAATTCTGCCCACAGACGAGAGGGCATGGGGGGCGGGGGGCGGGGGGGGTATTCAGCCATTACCATTTTGGGGCATCGGGGGCGGGGGGAGTATTCAGCCATTACCATTTTTACAGGCATCTCCTGCCTCTTTAGTCAAGCTCTATAAACGGTACACTGTATCAGTAAACAACACACAAAAAAAAACCCTTCAAAATTCAAAGTATCAATTTTATGAGCGAACAAATATCGCCATTTCCTACGTGGAAATAACATAATCAACATAAATAGGTCAACGTTGCTTTAGCTAGTAGTCCATACTGTGTGTTCCACGACCTCAATCTCCCGTCCAACCAGCGCTTTGATGTCGTCCCATAAATCAGGCAGGACGTTTTTATTGTTTATGCAATACTGGGTAATTGCTCTGGTGTGCACCAATAAACAATTCAGAGCCACTGGGCTCTTTATGAATTATATTACACTACAGACCAGTTAAAAAAAGGAGACTGAATAATGCCAGGCATGATGGCATTAATATGCACTGGGTGCTCTGAGCTCTTCATCAGACGACTGTGGCAGGAGGCCTGCTCATCAAACAGCCATCATCTCCGCTAATGATATCGGTCCGACCGAGTGTCCATTAAAACAGTTAGTGTGGTGAGATGGCCTCTGTGTGTGTGTGTGTCTGAGGTGCTGATTCTTCATGTGTGCCACTCCAACGTCGCTGTTTCTTCATGTGTGCCACTCCAACGTCGCCATGTTTATGACTATTTCCTGTCGTAAATGTATTCAAGAATTTGTTCTTCAATGGAAAAAAAAACACTTCTTTGTATAATTGTTAAAGTCTTGGGCCAAATGACTAATTGCGTTGTAATAAAATATCCTTTAATTAACACAGGGATAGAAGCAAAAGAAAAACGAAAAGGTCTACAGTGATTCCCAAGAGATGGAAAATGATCCGATTTTACATAATTGGTCTTCAAACTATTATGTATTTTATGGAAATAATTTGACATTTAACAATAAAATACCATTTCACCAGGTGGCAGCAGGAGGTTAAATAAATCTAAAAAGAGAAAGAGAGACTCAGAGGTGTTGAAAAATCCATCATGCCTGCTCATGTGTGTTTCTTCAATTCCTGCGGGTATAACAGAACTGCATTCAACTAAACAAGTCCAGGTTCCACACTGAGTAAATTGTGAGTTTACTGAACTTAGAAGATGATTAAATTTCACTGCATGTACTTTTTGTGACAAGGGCACTGTATGACTTTTTCCAATATAAAATATATGCCTGAGATTTCCACTGGGAGTGACCAGGAGGTACATGATTGGATATGAGTTGGTCTGAGTCACGGTTCAGGTGGAGCAGTACGGCGATAAGGAGGCGAGGATGAGATGGTTTGGGCACGTACTGAGGAGAGACACTGTACGAATACTGTATATTCAAAGCAAAGGCGTTAAAGATTTAACTGCCAGATGAGATGAAAAGGTAAGACTTTCAAGAGGATTTATGGATGTAGTGATGAAGGGATATTAAGATGGTTGGTGTAACAGAAGAGGAGGAGGAGGAGGAAGATGAATTTTTGAAGGGCACAGCCGAAGAAGAAGAAGAAAAAAAAAATCACTTGACTCAATTGTTATTATAATAACAATTACCTGCAGTCCTAATATCCATACAAATGCATTTCTAACAGCGACGCTGAATTCTATTTTTACACAACCAGAAAGGGTAAGGCTTCTTAAAGCGGTAGCATCAACAGTCAATTTCATAGATTCAAATCAGGGCTGTCAAGATTACACGTTAGTGAGGTTAATTCATTTGTAAAATTAATTAGATTAAAACTCACATTTTACCATATGAGCAGAATGACTGATATTACTGATTCCAATAATTCCTGCAAATAAGTACAAGTATATTAGAAAATATTTATATTGAATGAAATATAATTTGACAAAATGTTGACAAAAAAGTGGGCCAGATTAAACCCCCAAGCGGGCCGCTTTAGGCCCGCAGGCCATATGTTTGACAGCCCAGTTCTAGTGTGTGTACAAGGCATGTTCAGGTTATACAGGTAAACATATATTTAATGTTGTAGTAGGTCGATCGCTTTAGTCTGGTCCTTCCCGAGCCAAAAAAGTGTGGACACCCCTGAAGTTGAGCTTCCCTGTCCATAAGAAGTCATTTCTGTGATTGAACATTCCTTTATCGAACGTGCATTTAAAAAAGTTGCACTTTTTTATGGCACTCTGAATTTACTAATACATTCCATTCCATCTCTATATCTCTACAGCTAATGTTTTTTTTTTCTGCAGCGACTTCTGCTCATAGGCTGAGAGATGATGAGAGAGATTGTAATTGAGCCTAAAAAAAGATCTTGGCCTCATTTCAAGGCTCGGTGTGATCATGCCACGTTTGAAATATCCACCAGGCATCATTACAACCACGAACAGGTCCAATGACAGATTGGACTCAACGCTGATTCAACGCTGTCTTAATGAAGCCTTAGACCAGGCAGAATGAGACAGACGGAGGAGGAAAAAAGGACCATGAGCACCGAGACGACGGCCGCTGACACAAACGTGTGACCAGATGATGAACAGTGATGTCCTGCCGTCATCGCCTGTATAAAATAATCAGAATTTAAACGCTGTCTTTCTGTCATGTTCACGATTGACTGCACAAAACTACAAACAAGGCTTTTACCACTGCAGGTCGTCTGCTATCAGGGTATTGGTTGACAGGGGCAACAAGGGCAAAAGTATAAAAAGACACCAAATAGAACCTGCTCTACCACAGACCTTTCCTGGTCAACATGGAGCAAGGAAATACCCCCATCAGGCGCCTACACAGCACCGCTCTAGGTTCAATTTTTGTTTTGTAATTTGACAATTTCAAGATGCAACCAAACAAGACTCACATTTATAACCACTATCTGTTTAGAGAGACAGTGTCGTTGGAGAATTCACCTAATTCTGCCTGTTTTTGAACTGAGGAGGGAAACCAGAAACCAACACAGACACTGGGAGAACATTCTAACTCTATACAGAAACATCATCAGTCAGCACAGGCAAGAACGGCAAGCCCACCCCTGACACCCTTCAACCAAAAAGACAACATATACTGTTCTTCCTACCTCTGGCTTTGGGACGAAGGCTCGTCCAGGGATGGTGAAGCAGTTGTGGACTTGGCAGAGATACTGAGCCATGACGGACAGACGACTCCTCTGTCTGCTGCTTGTGCTTGCCGACAGCCGCTGGAGTGACAGGACAAATTAAATTTAAAAAAATAATATTAACTATATATTCATATTTATATTTAAAAATCACTAAATATATATTTATATATATAGCTGCATATGTAAATATATACTGTACATATATGCATACATCTAAATATATAAATACATGTATGTATACATTTACAAATATATATTAATATATATATATATATATATACATATAAATAAACATATGTGAATATATACATACATGTATAACAATACAGTTTCTTTTATGTATACACATATGCAATAATTTAATTAAATAACTAACTAATTTATTTTTGGATTTTGGGAATTCATTATGCTTATAGGAACAATATATACTCTCACAGCTTATTTTCAGAAATGTTTTTTTTTTTTTTCAAACTCCCTAAAATGTAATAAAATAGAATATATTAATTTCAAACACATGTATTTTACAGCATTGTGTATATTTATTGCCCTGGAAGGTCTAAACATAAAAGTGTCACAGATTGGACACAGGTGTCATGTGACTACGTTCACACACCTCTGCCACTTCCTTCTGGAAGGTGAGCGTGAGTCTCGTGCGTCCAAAGGTGAAAGGACCCGTCCTGTTTGACATGTCCTCCAGCCACTTGATGATGAGAGGGGTGGAGACATTGAACGGGAGATTTCCTATGATGTGGAGGTTCGGAGGATCTGCCGAGACACATTTTCGCACCTTTTCACTCCGTGTAATTCCTTCACACCCCTGTAGTGGCAGATTATAACGTTTCATTTTCTCACCTTCCTCCCAGGGCCTGGAGACATCTTTTGCGAATCCTCGGTCCATCCTGTAGGTGAGTATGTCCCCGTGGACAATCCGCAACTTCCCCGGTGCTGCATCTGACAGCAGCTGAGGAAAACCAACGTGATGTGAGATAAAAATCACGGACATACTGGAAAATACTGGATAACCATCAGCGTACTGGAAATCACATACTGGAAAATACTGGATAACCATCTGCGGGATAATGAATTTGCAGCTGAGAATATATTAGCTGCTTCATTTTAATGACGGTTTTATCAGATTTTCCGCTCCATGACCCCAGTGACCTTCATGCTGTCGTAGCTTCGTCGCCGCTGCCAAGATTACCTTCAGTCCTGGTATGAAGCGTGAATCCTTCTCCACAACAACCAAATCCGCCACCCCAGCATTGAGGATGGAGCGTGTAAGACCCCCAGGACCAGGGCCCACCTCACAGACGTGAGCGTTCTTCAAATTGCCTGCTTGGCGCACTATTTTGTCTGCAAAGATGGAAAAATATTTAATTAAAATTTCTGCGTCCAATCTGTCATTTTCACACTCAATCGGTTCATCTCATCCTTCATAACAAATGACAACAAATCGTCTCCAGGAAGTGTCTTTTCAGTTGCCTAAATTGAGATTAATAGTGTATGATGTTGCGCTGCCTGTCTGCTGGTGGGCTGGCTCTATTAATATAACAATCACCTTGTACAAGGACGAAAGTGCAGATCCTGCCTGCACTGCATCACCGAGAATTGCATTATGGTCTGAGCTCAGCAGCTACAAACAATTGTCTCGGTTCATTCACTTGAGAAGGAGATTTACTCAACCTCCAGTGAAAGGCCTGTCAATTCCAATGCTTTAAAACAAGAAGAAATGGAGCCGTATGTGCAAGTGTGCTGACAAAACACAGTGTGGGGTCGACTCAGAAACAAAAGAATAAGGAGCCACCTGCAGTTGGCGCACTGCAGCGTGTGCGAGAGAGAGAGAGAGAGAGAGAAAAATAATGCAGGAAAGGAAACAGTGAGGCAGAACGCTAACCTGTTAGCTTCAAGTCCAGAAGAAAATTCTGGGACAGTTGTTTCTCAGCTCGCAGGTTGTACAACTTTATGAGCTCGCCGATCGTTGGCAGGGGCGGGAGACGGAAAGATGCCAGTTTCCTGGAGGCGGACATCATTCAGAAAACCTGAAGAGCAGAGAGATGCATATACTGATAATGATGTATAGGCTTTTTTTTTTCCTACGCACAGGCGTGTGATCCATCACTGCACGACATAAAGAGACAAATTCAAATGTAGTCAGCTGATTACATGAACGTGAAAAGACGTCCTAACAGTTTTGATAAAAAGTCTTCAAGTGTTATTTTTACTTATGCAAACATCAATTGTGTGGTCATTTAAAAAACGTCTTTAAAATCACATTTCTGTTTAATATTCATATTGATATACTTAATTTATACTTTTTATACTTAATATACTGAATAATAAATAGTTACACAAAAAAGGTAAAATTAATTATAAATGTGAGAACCTTGCTTTTATCTGTTTCATTCATTATACAGTTGAATGATTTATGTGATGATATATTTATGGCATTTATAAAAACAATAAAAATCTTAGTGCTTTGCATTTTTATTTGGTTTGGTATTTAATACATGGAATATACACAATGTAACACTATCACAATTGAGAGGCTTTAAAATGATCGTGAGATTTAAACCTTCAAACAGGAAGAAATTCATGTTTTTTTGACCTCAAAGAATCAGGATGCAAAATTAAAATTGTCCAAAAACAATGGGATGTCTGTCAGTTCCTTCCAGAACGTTATTAATTCCACTTACATTTCTTCAGGTCATTGTATTGATTTCCACTGTCTGGCCTTAGGATGAGTTACTACTGAGGAGCTAACTGTGTCAACGGGAGCGTCTTACACAGGACCTCTTCTACCATCTAGTGGACTAATGCAGAAAACGATAAACAAATGATTCGAATGAAAAATAAGTACATGCTTTGTTTTTGTTTTTCTAATACCGTCCTTTAAATATAATGCATAGTTCACAGAGTGAAGTGTTTTAAATGCAATGTCATAATATGCGGCTATTTAGTAGCGAATCAACGACCACGAATATTTATTTTATTGTGATTTAGTAGCGAACCAACGACCACGAATATTTATTTTATTGTTTTATTTATAGAAAAAACATTAGTGAAATTAACTGTTTATTACAGCATTCTTTTATTTACAGCACACTAGAGATAACTTAAAAATCAGTCTTTTTAAGATGAATAACACATACATACAACTACTGCTGCCCATTACTGTAATGTCACAGAGTTGTTAGCATCACAGCTAAGGTTAGCTCAAGTCCAGTAGGATAAAGCCACGGGAGTTCAGTTTAAGCGGTACATAGTTTTACTAGAAACGTTACGTGTAGAATTATAAACTAAATATGGGACATGAATTTGAATAAACAACAACTAAACACAACAACGAGCGAAAGGTGAAACATACAGAAGCGTAAACACACGTTTCTCACCGGTGCCGTTTTCTCCTGCACACTTCCTGCTTTGCCTTTCAGTGGACGTCTTGGCGTCCAATCAACGTACGTGAGTGTAAAATACAACCAATAAAATTGAAGAAGGGCGGGGTAAGCGTTGTGTCCTTGAAAAGTTCTGTTACGTTGATGTCGATGTTCAGCCAGGAGGTGTCGACATTTCCCATTGTACCATTAGAAAAATTAAGCATTTTTAAACATAAAACAAACTCGTTGTTTTAATGAAAACTATTTTAAAATTGTGTTTTTTTACTGGAGCCTTAAACCGCATCCTTAAAGACTCGTGGTCATACAGTGGAAGAGAGAGTACACGTCATACATAGTACTACGTAGGTAATACGTGGTAAGAATAGTTACAAATACCATGTTGCCTCTGGAAGAGTTTCTTAACGTAAATATTAGGGCACAGATCTTACTTTTTCTATTTGTTTTTATTGATATTATTGAGATTTCACGAGTATTTTACCATTTTAACAGACGGGGGAGTCAGAGAGTCATTTCCTCACATGAACTCTCCGTGAACCGTCAGATTGAAACAAAAGTAATTAACATTTCTGAGATAATCAGTCATCATCATGGCAGGCCAAAGAAAATTTACAACAAACAGACACAACACATTAAAAACTCAACTCAGGGAATTCTTTTGTTTTCTTAATTTCTCTATTGTATACAAAAGTATTATATTCGACTATATTTGTTTATTTATGCCAGTTCTTCATCTTAGACAGGTCGGAATCAAGAAATATAAAAGTGGAAAACCAAAGCAGTAATTAGACTACCGCGTCAACCTTTAACAAATTCCTATGGTACAGCGCTGCACAAAAGATGTCGTGGTAACGCAGCATT